CTCTCCAGGTGTCTATGAGACCAGCCGCAACTACATTACTTATAATTGTATTGAAATCCTTTAAAAAATAAGCATCCTGGTGCACTAAGTAAGCTAGTCGAAACGATCTGACGCACTCTTGAACTATGTGCAAGTCTTGCGTGCCGTTTTGCTTTAAACTGATTAGAAAGTCGTGTTTTAGACGTCGTGATAAAAAAGCGGGTAGTGGAGGAGTATCAAAGTTTAGCAGGTAGAAACGCTCGCTTAATTTTTCCATGTAGCAATTTCCGGTATCGTTGAATACGTCGGTCAAGCTGTGGGCGTATGTCGAAATGTGATAGTTCGATTCTACCAGTTGCTTCAGCGTATCTATTTCTGGGTAGTGTTTTTGACTTGCGTTCACTGTAACTAGGGAACTCTGAAACAGTGCGTTAAAAATTAATCCGTAGAGGAAAAGTACGCCCAAAACAAGCCTGTGTTGAAACTCGTTCGAAAATACCTTGTGGTAAGTTACATTAAGAAGTGCCTGGCAGACGTCTAAGCAAACCGTACTCCACGAATGATCATACGCATGTACTTTTGGTATTTTTTGTGTGGCAGCGTAACTGCTGTACTTTCTGATTGTAAAAAGGCCAAAGGTAATCAACAACACAATGACACAGAGTGCGACCCAGACGTCTGTTGGAAATGCATATAGAATCGCAGTCCATTTTGGGATTAATTTTGCTTCAGGTACTATGACACAAAGGCAATCGTCCGAGATGACATTTGTGAAAGTGAGCTCAGGAGCATCGTAATCCTTCACAAAGATTTGGTTGAAAGCCATCTGCGATTCTTTGCTGTACAATTCCTTAATTGCACCTGAAGCGGAGCCATTATGGTCTCTATGACCAAATAGTTCACCATCGAACGGAATATGGGTCTCGATTGTAACATTTAACTGCTCGCTTATCGTTTCTATTAGCAAGGAATCCACTCCTACAAAGACGCCGTTCAAAAAGACGGTTATGGGGCTCGTATCAAATAAGGTTCCTTTAATCACTGCCCCATAATAGTTTCTAGATACCGAAAATTGTATAATTTCGTCTACTTGATCGATGTTAAACTGCTGCACCTGGTTTAAAAATGGATTAAATGTGTTTACTACCATCATATCGCTTGAGTGCACTATGACGATGTCTTTGTATCCAAAGTGCCAAGCATGCGAAAAGAATGCCGTAATATTCGAAGTGTTTTGCTCCATTACTGCCACAACCACGGCTCTATTTCTTGCACGCTTCTTCGTTTCTAAAATATCTTTCCAGTTGTCCGAAACTGTTACAGTCCCATACGCAAGATCTTGAGGAGGACGCAGTTCTTCAGAGCTATTGAATAGCGAAATGGTGGTCCTTAAATCTTCCGCATTCAGCTCATATATCTGGTCATTGAACGGAACGTTCGTGGACACAACTGCAATAGCCGAATAATTATCAAATACGTCAAAAATAAAATGAATCAGCGCTTTGTAGTAGTGTTCAGTCTGGGAAATACTCTCAACTTTAATAAAAAACACAACACCGATGACTAGAAAGAAAAACATTTTGTGACGAATATTTCTTAGTATAACAACCACCCTCAATGTTTATCGAAAGTGAATAAAATCACAAGAACGTCTAAATAAATAAGCGCTCGTCAATAAACGACTCCCTAGGGTCGTAATTGCCACCCTTAATGGTCCGTACAAAACTCATCGATCACGATTATGCCATAAGGAATGTAGATTTAAATAGCTGATGAAGTGATTATTTGAAATCAGCATTGTGAATAATGACCGAACTTTTAGAAGGAACTAGATTTGCCGATAATTACATAATTGTTGAAGACGTCAATAAAGCGACGCGCTTCAGCAATAGGTACGTATTTCCTAATTAATAGAGGATTTTTTTTACTGACATTGCAGAGCTCAATAACTGTTCGTTATAAATGTGCCATTCAAACCAATATATCGACAACGAGCGACAAGACAGAAGGCCAGAAAGTTAAAATGCCAAAATTTAATCAGTTTAGTTCCTTGTCTATTGCTTATTTTTGCCTTCGTTCATAGAATTGCTTTTTACTTTGCAACATTACGTGTCCCATAATAAGTCTCTGCCCATAATATTAGACACATACCTACCCTTTTCTGTTACTGTGTGTTTACTTTTCTTACTGATTTGTAATAATTGTATTCCATTTCTCTTTTTTTTTACTTTGTCTATATGCTAATAATGCAGTATTTATATTTACTTTTATGATTGTTCATTCATGGATTACTAAGAGTTTGTTGAACAATACACATTACTGATTACTATATTGCTGAAAACAGAATTGGAAAACTCGAAACCGCTCGCGAGTTATCATGTGCACGGACGGACGGACGGACGGACGGACAGAAAGTCCAAAATCATGAACGAGATGAGTCGTTCGTTAATAAAAGACGTTTGTGATAAAAGAATCGTCGAGAAAATGAGCCGATTTTTGCATTGGTGTCTTGCTAAAAAGCTCGCTCGTCAATTCGGAGGAAGGTGTGTGATACACCGCTGCGGTCTCCTAAAAGCTTACAGTTCTTTGGTATATTTTTCATGCATGCATTACAGGTGTGTATGCGTCCAGAAAAACCTATAATATTTTTTTTCAAAATTCATCGATTTGCATAAAAATTTGGAGCTAAGCTAAAGTTACCTACTACTTGCAAAATTAAAATTGATCTATGCCCCTATGTGATACTGAATTAATGAAAGAACACTCCCAATTGTAAATAAATAACTGAGGGGAAGATTGGGAGTGTTATTTCATTACCTATATACTACTTACCTCCCATCTCAAACTCTACATTATGATGCCGACGGCGATGTTCATTTTTTAGGGGTGAAAACTATACCCATTTTTTACCGCAACTATTTATTAGATTAAGGTTGCAACAGACTACATACTATGTACAATTGTATAATTTAAACGGTAATTAGATATTTGTTTTATCTACGTTTTCATGTAAAATCTTTCAGCTCGGTCTGAAGATGACATTCTCGTCGAAATCGATAGCCGTTCGAAACTAAAAAAATTGTTGAGTCTCAATTAATATTCATCATATATTAATAATCACTCAAACAATAAATGGAGTCCTTCATCAACAAAGTTCCCTTATGGTGTTTGCTAATATACTTATATTTTATTGGTTATATATAGGTATTAGCAACCACCATAAGGTAAATCGTTTTTTATCAATATTAAATCTACCTAATATATAAATAATAATGGAAGACTTCATCAAACGTAGGAAAAAATAGACTGAAAGTTGTAATTGAGAACGAAGTGTATCAAATGATAATGACACCTAAAATGTTAAATTGTAATTACAGCATATAATTAAATATAATCGCACAGGACCCTGACGAAAGAAGGGGGGAGCGGGGGGGGGGGAAACGGGGGGGATTCCCCCTGGGCCCGGATTTTGAAAAGGGGCTCATTGCATGATTTTTTGGGAATAAAATTTTTACATCCATAAAGCATACCAATTTCACTAAAATAAAATATTTCATATTATGAGTTCTTGATTATAGTAGAATAAAGTAATGTGGAATAGGTAAGTTTAAGCACAAACAAGTTAAAAAGTAATCGTAAACGATTTACATAAAGCGCATTTCCACTTGCATTCATTTCCCATTTGTAAGATGCAACTTCTATAAAATCGTAAAAATCCGGCCACAAATATGAAAGATAGCGTTGCACATGGGCAATCCATTTTTGTCGTGTTACTTCAATGTCAGTTTATGAGAAGAATTTCATTTCAATGCTTTTCTAAATAAGCTAAAGGCACTTGGGATAAAGGAAAATCAAACGCCAGTTTCAAAATTTGGTTTTGCGCATGCGTAGTGCCAACTTTTTTATTTATGGAAGAATTTAAACGAAATTTGATACATAGGCACTTGGAATAAAGGATCATCGAGCGCCAGTCTCAAAATTTTCTTTTGCGCATGCGCAGTGCCAACTTTTTTATCTATGGCACCATTTAAGTGAAATTTGATACTTAGGCGCTTGGAACAAAGGAAAATCTAACATTAGTTTAAAAATTTAGGTTTGCGCATGCGCAGTTCAAACTTTCTTATTTAGAAAAGCATTGAAATGAAATTCTTCTCATAAACTGAAATTGAAGTAACACGTCAAAAATGGATTGCCCATGTGCAACGCTATCTTTCATATTTGTGGCCGGATTTTTACGATTTTAACAGAAGTTGCATCTCATAAATGGGAAATGAATGCAAGTGGAAATGCGCTTTATGTAAATCGTTTACGATTACTTTCTAACTTGTTTTATTTTTGTGGAAATGCGCTAAAAAGGGACTCCTGCTTAACAACTCCCCGGGCCCCAAGTTTCTCTCTACGGTCCTGTATATCGCATACCTACCTATAGGTAAAGACGTAAAGTTAGTTGGTACATATCTGTCCCATCGTGAAATTTAGTTCATGATTAAAAACCTGCCTAGGTACCTATTACTAAAATCCGGGTTCGAACCCTGTCAAATAGGTTTTAAATAATTTATAATTACCTACATACCTATTATGTACAGACCTACGTCTTTTTCCTAGTAGGTATGAAATTGACTTGAAAACCTATCCCTATAAAAAATCTGCTGTGGCTAGCACAGATACCACCCGCACACCTGCGCATGCGCCATTCTGCCCAAAAGCTTTTTAGCTCTTCCTTTGATGTCCAAGAATATAATGTACCTAATCTGGTTCCAGTCGGTTCAGCAGTTAAGCTGGAAATGGGAATACAGGCACACAGACCGACAGACATCATCGAAATTTTGTTTGATTCGGGTTCCTGGTGCCTCAAAACGTGTATTTCCGTCAAAAATGTCAGGGGTAGGGGGGTCATCTTTTACCTCAATACAATTACCTCTCTTACTAACTTGTGGGTGGTAAAAATGAAATTTTGAAACAAAATGGCACCATACTCATTCATTAAATCAACAGGTTTTTTTAATACGCACTTATCTATCCTTTGTCTTTATTGCTTGAGAATACAAATAAATAGATAAACAATTAATAGTGCTATAGGTAGCCAGTAGCCACCTAAATATTAATAAAATAATATGCTTAAATAAATACAAGCCAACTATCTATGGGAAAAAGGTACAAACAAACGAAAGCACCGATTCTCATTAATATCCGACAACAATTAAAAAAACTAACAATCAATTCAAGGCTATGTAGATACAAGGAACAAATAAAAAATTACTTTTCTACTTGAGCACGATACTTTTCATCCTCTTTAAACCAATCACTGTACTGCAACACTTTCTGATGCCAATATTGTATCAGCTCATCCATGGTAGACTCGCTTCCGCCGTACTCCACAGGAAGAATGTCTTTGGATACCACCTTATGCAGGGATTCCAACCCTGAATAATGCGCCCTTACTCTTCCTTGAAGTTTAGCAGACATAAAACTTTTAAAGACACTCAATATCACGTTAATGTACGTTGGAGCGTTTATAAATTCCAACTGTTTGGGCCTTGAGTAATAATTTTGCCAGGCGAATACTGCCTTCTTGATCATGCTGGGCGGTAACTGTTTGGCGTGGGCCAAAGAAATGTTCGTCATATCAAAAATGGCGCAAATTCCGAACACCGTGGCGTTTTCGTAATATTCTTGAATCGCGACGTCCAGCACCATTTTGCCCGCCTTAAATACGTCATCTTGTTTATGCACCTTGGGATCATGCGTAGCTGTTCGTATTATAACCACCATTTTATTATCGCTGAATTTTCTGAGCGGAACAAAAACACCCATGCGCACCAGTTCCGAAATTTCGGGCAGGAGTGGGTTTCGGTCGACAAACCATTCGGTACGTTCACCTTTCATGACGTAAAAATTTTTCATCTTCTTCTTGGTCAACTCCAAATTGAATTTGCACCCGCGTAGAAAACATAAAATCGATTTGTCGTCCTTTTTCGCGTTTAAATGGGGTAAAGTATCCAACCACTGCCTTATTTCGATAATGGCATTATAATTTTCCTCGGTTTCATTTAAAAACTTCTCAGCGTAATGCTTTACAATCTCATTAGAATACACAAAAATAGCCATTTTGTTCACCGATTAAAGGAGTTTCATTTCATTGTGCTATTGAATGCTATGATAACTACTATCGACTGAGAAGCTACGTACCTACTTATTTAAATTTGAAGCGATAGCAAATAAAATAGGTTAATTGTGTCATTGCAAACGAAGGCGGAATTCCATAATCACATTAATTCCTTTTAATTAGTTAAATAAATGTCAATAATTATAAGTGGGTAGAACATCCTACCTACAATTGGCTTAATCAAAGGTACTCCGCGAGAAAAACAATGATAAACAATGATAATCCTTCTTACGTAATAACAATTTTTCACGCATCAACAATACGCAGAAGATAACTAAAAGTGGGACAAGGATTGTGAATACGGGTACCCTTTGTGCATTATTTAAATAGACGTGGCCTATAATAGGCTACTGTATACACATGGTTGTACATGTTGCTGTTGTTTACACAATTGTGTAGGCTGTCCCAAAATTTGGATAATGTCAACCAATCAGACCTTCTTGGCGATTATCCTCATTCTCTTCTAAATGAACAATTCCTCCTATGTAATGGTTTCATCCGTCTGTTCGTCTAACTCGAGAACGAAAAAAGAGGATCAGTGCTATTGAATATGAGCCGGATTAAAAGTCTGGTTTCCGAATGTGAGCTGAATGGTAAAAATTGTTCCTACTGAAAATCGTATGCGATTCTTCGTATCCTGTTTAATAATTGTATATAATTAGATGATACGCCAGTAGAACGTAGAACCTTATTCAGAGAGGTCATGGTTAAATGACGAAAATCAATTAACTTTTTTCTTCAATAGCTTCTTTAAATAGTCAATATGAAACCGCTAATACCCAATTGTTTAATTTCAAACCTATTAGGTACAGGTACATGTCGAAATTAAATCAGGTTCGCACAATCTGTGCTAACAAAAAAAAGGAACAAAACAATAAAATTGATTAACAATGTACTAATAAGGTATGACAACTCATACAAATCTCATTTCAGATGCTAAAGTACCCCAACTGTAATAGCAATAAAAGCTAGCAGGTAAACCAGTTTTTGTCCAATTTAACGTAAAATGTGTGAAAGAACCTCGATTATCCTCCATACCCTCTTTAAGGTATCATATCTTATCTTAACAACAAATAAGGGGCATCACTAATCACTATGACTAAAAATTTCCTCATTCACTTGAACGTTGCAGTAGTACCTATCTATCGAAAACCTACAATTAAAAAATGTTTATGAATATTCTTCTAATCTTCTACACACCTGAGGTTGGGCACTTTCTTCTTTGAGCAAACGTAACAAAGGCAAAGTAGAGGTGGGTTGGGGTAAATAACGGGTTTTCGTACACTAGCAAAAATGAAGCGAAAGGGAAATGTAGTACTGGTAGATCAGATAGGCGCCACTTAGTCTTTAGTAAATTTCAAAAGAGAAAAGAGATTACTTACCGAAATGGGAAACAACGTAAACTAAGAGATCCGTGTCTCGGTCTTGATAAGCTAAAGAAATAAAATAATGGACAGGGTAGAATATAAACAAGAATTGATATCACAATCGAGAGGCACATTTAATATATGATCTCAAAATACTACAAATAGGACACTGTAATATCTAGATCTGAAATGTCAAAGATTAAATTTAAATAAATTTTTAGCAAAAATGGGATCAACGTCAATATTAAGACAGACCTTCCGCAGAAAAGAACGGAGCTATAATTTTTAAATGACTATCAAACAAATGTACCTAGTAATTAAGTACAATTCGATTGTATCGAAAGCCAGTAATGTAAGCTGTGAGCTCCGAAGGGCCCTTTTCTGCCTGATCTGTAATAGATAACTTTTAGAAGACAGATATATGTGAACACGTAGTTAAAACAAGATTATAATTATTTGTCATAAAAATACACTGACAAATTTATTTAAAACAATTACTCGATCTCTCAGTGCTAACTGATCTATTTAAAAATATTTAGTGTTGCTATTTTTCTCAACACTCCTCCTCAACACTGGCTTTTTAGTCCTCCAGTCCATTCAATCGTCTAAGCTGTTGAACTCGAACGCGTGCCACAGGCTTGGTGAGTAAATCTGCCGCCATGATTTCCGATGGACAGTACATGAACTGGATTACTCCGCTTTGATACAAATCCTTGACAAAATTGTACTTTGTATCAATATGTTTTGTCCTGTTACTAAATTTTTCAGTATGCAGCATTTTCAGACAAGACTGATTATCCTCGTTAAGCTGTATATTTTGAACGTCCTCGTCGAGATCATGTAGAAGTCGTTGAATCCATATTGCCTCTTGTGATGCCTCCGACAAGGCCACAAATTCAGCCTCCGCAGTTGACAATGAAACACAGGTCTGCTTGCGGCATGCCCATGATATAGTACCGCCACAGAATTTGAATAAAAATCCACTGTTCGACTTTCTATCATTTCGGCATTCCGCCCAATCCGCATCAGCATATCCAACCAAACCAGAATCATCGCCACGATTGCTTAGACGAAGCTTCAAGTTGATCGACCCCTTCAGATATCGTACAATTCGTCGCAGTTCATTCCAATCACGCTGCGTAGGATTCGACAGTTTACGACTGAGAATGGATACAGGAGCAGCTATATCTGACCTGCTATTAACAGCCACGAAAAGCAATTTTCCCACCAGCTTTTGGTACCTACTCCGTATTATCAGGAAGTGGCTTGTCTTCAGTATTTGGCTTGAAATATCCCACGTCAATGGGAATCGGAGATGACTTAGCATCCTCCAAACCAGCTGACTTCACGATATCCGTTATATATTTTCGTTGCGAAATGTGAAAATCCCCAGCATTATCACGTTCCACTTCGATACCGACGTAATTCGGAACCTCTCCCAAGCTCACAATCTCGAAGTTTCTCTCTAATATCCTTCCAGCCAACGTGATGAGTTTTTCTTCCTCACTAGCAATGATTAAATCATCTACGTAAACTAGGATGTAGCATCGTTTTCCATTAACCTGCTCGCTATATAAACATGGATCAGCTTCACTTCTCTTGAAGCCATCACCTACCAGTACTTGATGAAGCTTATTGTTCCACGAACGAGCACTTTGCTTTAATCCATACAGGCTCCGTTTCAAACGACAGACCTTGTCTTCAGATCCTTTGACGACGAACCCCGGCGGCTGTCGCATGAATATTTCCTCCTCAAGGTCGCCGTTTAGAAACGCCGTTTTTATATCATACTGCCTTACGACCATTCTTCACTTTGCCGCGACTGACATCAGCGCCCGAAATGTTGTTTGACGAACAACTGGTGCGAACACTTCGTCGTACTCCTTTCCATATTGTTGATTATAGCCTAGAGCTACTAGTCGTGCCTTGAACATTATTACCTCGTTATTCGTATTTCGCTTGAGTTTGAAAATCCACTTTTTTACAAAAATAGCACTTATCATTTTCTTTTCTGGTTGTAGTATGCAAAGCTGTCTCGTTGCTGTTTTCATCACTCGCACGATTCACTCTTTTCTGCCACTCGTCAATCAATTTTCCTTTTACGAGATCCAGGGTCAAATCTTCATCCGGCCTCGCCTCCAGAGCAGTGACTAGAGTTTCATATTCCTCAGGGAGACTGCTAAATAAAATTGCCACTAACCACTGGTCATCCAGAACTGCATTTTCCTGCATTGCATTCAACCTTTCTACCAGGTCCGTTAGCGTAGCGATGTGTGTCTCCATATCACCCTTCTCTTCGAGACGAATACGGCAAATTTTTCGCATCAGACACACTTTTGTACTTAGAGTGTTTTTGACGTGAACCCTTTTTAGATTTTTCCAAGCCTCCATTGCCGTTTCAGCTTTCTTAATATGTATCAGCTGGTTATCTTCAACTGCTAATCCAATATGTGCCATTGCCAGCTCATTTTTCGATTTCCACTGTACCGTAACTGGTTCCTGTTTCTCATTGCTGATAGCCTCCCAACATTTTTCTTTTAGTAACAATAACTTCATTTTGAAGCTCCAATTGTCATAGTTGGAAGCATTCAACTTGACGAACGACACCAGTTTTTCATTCATGACAAACAATTCGAAAAAATTATCTGCACAAACGACAACTTTTGAATGCTTGAAATTTATTCGCAGATGCGGTATACTGGGCGCATAACCTTTTAGAAGACAGATATATACCTAGCCGAGTATGATCCGGATATCTAGTACTAACTCATAAATAAAATGAAACTATTCATAAAGTCTAGAAAAGAAGTGCAGAGATCGCTGACAATTTTAACAAAAGCATTGAACAAAAAAAAATGTTATTCAATGAGTAACCTATTAAAACTTCAACAATTTAATTCTAACTATAAACGGACTTGTAGCAACAATCAAAGTCAAATAAATATGAACGCAATGAACCACAAATATAAATGAATAATGCAAAAAAAGGTTCAAATACCTTGGAACCGTCATTAAAGGAAAAAATAAACTAAACAAATATAGAAAACGAGCTCCTGGATATGGCTAACCAAATTTTAAACCTGATGTTAGTTTTGCTTTTATTTAAAGTGTATATGTAGAAATTTTATTTAATTGCTTCCATAAATAAGAAAGTTGGCACTATACATCCCACACAAAACCAAATTTGGAAAATGGCGCTACATTTACTTTTATTTCAAGTGGCTATGTATCAAATTTAATTTGAATGACTCCATAAATAAGAAAGTTGGCACTGCGCATGCGCAAAACCAAATTTTGAAACTGGCGTTAAATTTGCTCTTATTCCAAGTGGCTATGTATCAAATTTCATTTAAATACCTTCATAAATAAAAAAGTTTGCAATTCGGTTTATAAATGGTCGAGATGCGAAAAGGGCACTGTGAATGTTGATCGATTAAGCTGAATATTTGGATGCGTTTTATATGGCTATAGCTATACGCATATTGAATTTCATGCAATTCGGTTCACAACTTACCGAGATGTCAAAAGGGCCTTCCTTATTTTTTGGGCTACATTGCCAATTCGCGAACTCCGATCTACAAATTTGATAAAGAATCCACCTACACAATTTTATCGTAATCGGTCCATTCGTTATCGAGATATCGTGCTAACGGACGGACAGACGAACAGACACCGCAAAATTATAAACTCGCTAGGAGCTCGTAGTAGTGTTTTCTATGCTACTTCTGGTTGCTAGTTTTGTGATCTATGATAGTCACAAAGTCACACTGTCGATGTTACCTAAATATAATGAATCCAATGAGCCAAGGAGTAGGTAATTTAATTATAATTGCTTTACCATATAGCTGATCAGGCATCAATTACTATTGAACAATTCGTTTGTGTTGCATTATTAGGTGCGTGAACTGAGGTAGCCCATACAAATCTAATTTCTTTAATTTAATATCCAGTAATTTAAACTTTTTTAAGCTTCAATTTAAGGTTCGCAACTTTTTGAGTCATAAAAGTGGTTTGTCAAAATCTCAAGTTCACACTGAATATCCAACACGACGAAGCAATTTTTTGGTTCCTTATTTTAATCTTACTTTTTTAATGTTCAAATATAAATACGAGTATGCTCTGGTTTTGTTGTTTTAACTTTTCAACTTACTCAAAATCCAAAAATTACAATTTCCATTTCCTGCATCACTCTGAATAACCAAAATGGCGCAGTACATTTGTTTAAAGAGACTTTTATGGTACCTATCCTTTTTGGATATAGCTGCATAAAACTTATTCTTATTACATAATGAAATTTAAGAGAAAAACTCAAATTAAGGAAAATAGTTGTCTAATTTTTTGAATTCATATTTTGGTAAGCAAAGGAAGATGCACACATATACCGCTTTATAGCGAACAGAAACAAAAATATGTCTTGAAATAAAATGCGTGTATTTTCAATAAAAGGTGTCTGGAGGGTTATACCAAGGTTTTACCTTTAGAGATAAGCGAGGAGAGGGAATCTTTTTATATTTCAAAGTCAGACCAATGTCTTGTATTCAGGAACGTATAAAGAACAATGAAACTGGCTTTTGTGTTTATTAATACTTAAATATAGCAACAAAGGGAAATAATAAGCAAAATTTATGTAAATATTCATCGACATCCAACATAAAACAAAACGTCCATCCTTCCAAAATTACTGATAGGTAAAACACTCGGTGCCCAATTCAACGTAAAAGGTGTGAAAGGACCTCCATTTTCCGCCATACCCACTTTAAGGTACCATATCTTATCTTCAAGAAACAAATGAGGGCCATCACTATGAGTGATAATTTCCTCATGCACTTGAACGAGTTGCAGCGATATCTACGAAATACAATTAAACTGTTTTTATAATATTCTTCTACATACCTGAGGTGTGTCGAACACTTTCTTCAGGTATGCAGTGTTGCGAATGATGTATGTAATTCCAGTCGAATCGGTGCACGTGTAGAAGTTATGTTGCTTTTCGTCTTGATGGATTCTGGCTTGTAGCAGCACAAAGAATGACTGATGAAATGACTTAATATGGTATAGTAGGATTTTAAAATTGTTTTAGCTGGCTTACCAGAGGAATATATGATTGTAGAACTTGTAAGCCCTCCTTTTTGTTGTTCGTTATGCATTGGTTGATTCTTTCGGTTGTCGACGATAGCCAATCAATGAACTGCATTGCTACGTCCAGCTTTGTGACAAAGTAGTGTTTTTGTATGCTACTTTTGGGTTTTGTCACCTGTAAAAGTTACAAAGGGTACACTGTAGGTTACCTAAGTATAATGAATCCAATTAATGGGATAATTTAATTAATTTCATAAACCCAATGAACTTATATTATTTTATTTATAAATTGCTGAAGTACCTATCATCATTCATTCTATTTCATTTTTACACCATATTGGATATAAATATTGTTTTAAGCATCACAAGGAAAGTAGACCTGTAGATTCTGCCAATGACTAATTGTGTAAGGCCTTCGGCGTAACTTATATTTCAAATTTGAACGAAATATCTCAAAAACTGAAGGAGATATTAAGAAAACACTTAAAACATTTTGAAATTTGAACACCCTCTGTAGCTCGTGGTAACGAAGCGTTTGTGGACCTATATGTTTATATGAACTTTTAGTCATAAAATAAGCCAAGAAATAGCCTCCTCCGTAATTCCATCATATTTAGGAACCTGATCCTTTATAAAATCTATCTAATAAATCGCCTAAGAGCATATTTCTGTCATTTTGGGTATTTAATGCTGCTATTATTTTAGAACGAATTATTTTTTGAGATTTTTGGCTAGGTATTTTTCGGTTTTTCAGCAAATTCATGAAAAAAAGACACTTTCAACGTACGTGTTGTACACGAAATTTTTTTGCATGGTGATCCTTAATAACTCATAACTGAAAAATATCATTGAGATACGCGATTTACAGTCACTCAAAAATCACTATGCAAAAAAGAAATTACATTGAAATTACATCATCTAAAAGTATAAACTACCCAAAATTGTGCGTATGAGCCGAATACACATTTGCCAGCAATTACCGAATTTTTATGGTAATTTGCATTAAGGGTTCATACCTTTCATTAGTATTTTTTAAATTGTAGGGTTTATATTATCAGTAATTGATTGGGAACGACATACAACATATGAAGAATCACATACTATTTTCAAGAAACCCGACTTTTAATCCGGCTCATATTAAACTGAGCTCGTAGAAATCGATTGGCCAAGGTTTGACATCTTTTTTCGTTCTCGAGTTAGATGAGGAACATACAGACGAACGGACAAAACCCTCACATAAGAATTTTTCTTCCGAAAATGTCCCCTAAAAATAAATCAAATAATAACACTTTATTAAAAATACAAAAGTTTTGAAACCGTAAAATATCATTGTGCTCTAGTATATTTGTTTTGAATAAAAAATATTGCTTTAGTTGAATATCTGGAGAAAACTATCCACTCATGAAAAACAGATTCCTTTGAATAAACATTAAATATAGCAAATACGTAAACTGATGGAATTTTAATTCCCAGTAGGTACTCATATGCAATAAATAAACAAGATGTGCATTTATTAATATCAATAGAAAAACCTCGTTAGGCAAGTGTCATTCGGAGTCTTCTCGCATTTATAATTAAATTCCATTGAAAGGTAAATAAAGAGACAACAAAGACAAGTATAGGAAAATCATATAAGTATATAAGCTTATATACATGAGGAAAATGAGACAAATTCATTCTTCTCTTTCTACTTCCAACTTGTTATATTTCGGAAGAGGTTAGTCAACTATACATACTCCATGAATTAACTGAGAATATTCTGTAAGTTTATTCTCAGAGTATCCCAAAAATCTCGCCAAAAGTGGTGTATACTTATATGCATCAGGTTCTAAGAGTATTCAGAATAAATGGAGAATATTTTTTAAGCTTATTTTCAGAGTATCTGAAATATATTCCTATATTCGCATATCCCCAGTATCTCTTACAAGGAATTTATATATATTTTAGATATATTTAATACATGTTCAAGTATACCTTTTTGAATATTCCCGGTATAATACAGAAATATTCATGTTGTAGTCTGCTAACTGCTTCTATAAAGGACACATTAACTTACGGTTTCCGACATATTTCCAGGCAATGTTTTTAAATGCTTCCTCGAGTTGGAGATGGTAGGTTCAATCAATGGTGGCTTTTTGATTTCTTGTGGCTTCCCTAAAGCTATAACATCATCCACTTTGAGGATACTGAGCTAATATACCTACCGACACACAACTCTATATTGAGAAAGTCAATAAATTCCTCGGCGAATTTTAAATCACTCGCAAAGGCCCAAATACACGCATAGAAATGGATACACTTACGATTTATAGCATCACTGTTACTTATGCTGCCATAGCCTACAGTGTAAATTAGCTATAATGCTACTCACTATGAAGCAAACGTACCTTTGATGTTTAAACAGTTGCAGAAGAATTTATCATAAATTACTCTGTTTCCTTTTGACGTACAAAATGTAAAATGTAGGTAGCCCAAAGGATGCTTGGGGGAAACTTGACATTTTACTGCCACGACTGTTTTGGAAACGCGTTGTACCAGCGCACCTCTGGTCTCTGTCGACAATGACCATAACTGCTGCTTTATATTGTCAGTGAAATTTAACGAATGTAATAGACAATTCTTTGTTTCAATCGGTACAGCGACGTTTACACTCTTTAAAGCTGACTTAATATGTATACAAATGGACACAACTCGAGTGCCCTCTATCTCGTGACATTTCAAGATTGAATCATCAAACAGCCTCTGACATGAATCCACAAAACAAAGCGCGACTTCAGACAAAGCAACATCAGCTTCTTCAGTCACAGTGTTCCCTTCCACCACCGGTAATTGGACAAAACCTCGGTAATCTGGGCCCTTCCCCCTCACTTTCACTGAAAAAACCTGCCGGGCTGTACCACTCAGAAGCTTTGTGGCGTTTAAAGTGGTCTCCTTCTCCTCACACTCCCTAAACACTGTACCGCACTGCTTGTTTTTGCATGTTAAACTTTTGGTGCCATTGTAAACACCGCACTTGTGGCACTTTCTGATGCCTCGCTTCGTTGCTTTTCCCAAATTTAGTAATAAGTGTGATACATCTCTCGACTGTACCGAAGGTTGAAACACACTTTTCCTAATTTTTAACTCTTTTCTTAGCATTTACGAATCTTAACCAAACAATCTAAAATAAAATATCTAAAAATACCACCCATAAGTTTACAATATAAATTTAGATCGGGTGATGACACTCAATGAAAGCAATCAATAAATATCGCAATGCATAATGTATTTGTCCAAATTTTAACAATAAGTACTTTGTTTAATTTATTTCGATTCATCTTGGAGCAATCTGCTGGATCATTTTCTGGCTCTCTGATAACTTCTTATTCCTTTTCTTTTTCTAAAAATATAAATAATTAGTAGGGTTACTTACTATTGTTGTATTCTTCTGTGGCATTAGTTTTTAACACTCGGTCAACTATCACCAAAGAAGATACTATTCTACATCTATTAATCAATGCTTGAACAAATTACCTGCTTAAGCGGATGTACTTTAGAACCTTGGAAAATGGCACTCTTCTTCACCTTCGCGTTATCCGCTTCCTTTCGTTTTCGTTCCTTTGGTTTCTTTTCTTTCTTTGGAACAGGTTTTACTTCGGATTGCTGTGTCTACAGATAGCACCGTTTAATTGCAAATTGTAAAAGTAATTCAACACACCTGCCATTTTTTCATTTTCGTCCTCGCGTAACGTTGGACGCGCACCTCACGATTCTTGACTTGTACAGAGTCCGCCATTAATGCAAGTGCAACGCCATCGGTGGATTTGAAATTAACGAAACCTACGCCTATGCACATCCCCGTCTCGGAATTTCTGATTAAACGTACGGATTCTATTTGCCCGAAAGTTTCAAACGTGTTCCACAGATCGTTTTCTTCCGCATCTGTAATTACAGTAAGAATCTTTGGGTATCGGATCTCAGTGATTACTCACCGAAGGGGACGTTTCCTATAAATAATGCTTTGGATGGTTCTAGCTCGGCATTGTCGTCGCATATTTGCACACGTAAAATGTTTTCTTTAAATTTTGTTCCGTTCAAACTGCAGGCATTTAATGCATCCTCGCGATTTTCGAACCTAAAAAGTGTAGCAATATGAGATTTGGGGTCAAGGCAGGTATGGACATACACAACGTAACTACAGCAAGATGTTCTCTTGGGATGGAATGATTCTCTGATGGCAGCCAAACGTTTCGAAGTACCGGGATCGGCCGGTGTGATACCTCTTAATCGTACAGTTTGTACTTTGCCAAATTGTCGAAATAGTTTTAGTAAATGTGTTTTTTTGGCAGTAACCCCCACGTTTCCAACAAATAACGTGCGTGACTTCACATCAACGTCTGAAGAATGGGCATTTGTGCTATTTTGGTCTTTTCCTGTTGCATCGACTAACTTTTGCTTCTTTAACTTTTTGGAAGGTTTTTTATGAGTACTGGCCAGCATTTTTGAAATATTGAGGTTATGGCATAGAGGTTATGTTTCATTAATCCAACGTTGCCATGTTCAACCCATAACAAAGGCATTATACCATGGTTGCCAGATCTTAAACATTGACAGGTACTTTGGAGTTTTTTTCCATAAAGTGCGTGAATTTTAATTCTGAACATACAAATCTCTTGCACATAAAACGCATATGTTCAATTCTAAAATATACACGTTAAATGCCCCTTAAGCCCGTTTGTAACCATCCCTTATTTAGTCAATTTTTAAATAATTTTTTTAGGAACAAAAAAATTGAACATTTCATACATCAACTTTGATCAATTTTTTGGTAGTGATTTTAGGAACTGAAAGCTGTCCTATTTTTGTAATGTTTAGAACCTGTCCTATTTTCCTTCAATTTTTTAGTAACTTTTGACAGATTATAGGGAATTTGTAAAATTAAAATTAAATTTATATTCATTTTTAAAGCTCACTATAATACGTTGACAGTAGATAGAGACCTTAGTTTACAGAAGATAAATATTTATGGCCATATAGTCTCCAGATTTAATATAACATAGGTTATGTACAAATGTTTACATTTTACAGGTACTACAAAATTGACAATATTATGGAATGTTACATACAGTTTCATCGTTTATGACATTTTTAGGATAGCATTATCTTTATTGAAGAAAAAAAAGACTAAAAATTTGACTAAATAAGTGATCGTTACAAACGGGCTTTAAAACATAAAAAATTTGAATTACTTTTTCTGGTACATCCTAAAGAGGTAAAGAACATGGCAACACCGCCCCACAAGCATCAGTAGCCACTGCCTAATGTCATTACACTTTGCGATAATAGGTTACACTACTCGTCACTATTTTTAATTATATTTAAAATGGATCTAAATTATTTGTGCAATTATTCACTGTAATTAGTGTACTTATGTATACCTACACTGTACGTAATAGTAAATTTAGCAGTTTCCAAGGATGTCTCAGATGAGTGCACTTTTTAAGCAAGCCATAACCACTTTTACTTGTAAAAAAGAAATATTTCACCAAAATTTAGAAATTCTACATGCTGTTCTTGACAAAATAACTGCGGACGACGTGGATTTACATCCACAGTTTATGAAAGAATCCTTGTGGATGAGACCAAACAAAGCGCCAGTTACTTACATAGACATATTTGAGGATGATAAGGTCTCTATGGGAGTCTTCATATTGAAACCGGGGATGCGACTACCACTACACGATCATCCACAAATGTACGGATTAATAAAAGTGATCGCGGGTACCATAAGGATCACCAGTTTTTCGTTATATACAGAATTACTTAGTGAAAACCAACACAAGAATCGACTGGAGTCGGATAGTGTTATGGCAGAGAGGAATTTGGAGATGGTAGCAGATGCGAGTTCGGAACCTTGCATGTTGGATCCTAATAAAGGAAACTTGCACGAAATTGAAAGTGTAGGAGGTCCTGCTGCTTTTCTAGATGTGTTGTCACCACCATATAGAACACCTATCACGGGTAATGGACCGCGGTTATGTACTTATTATAAAGTTATTAAAGAAATGGAACCTCGTATTTTTAAACTAGAAAAAATAGAAGCACCTTCTTGGTATTGGAACGACACATTCCCCTACACAGGCCCACAAGTACCGTAAAACCTACCATATAAATTTGAATTGTTTCAAACTGTGATTATGTATTTTTACAACCAGTCAATTTGTTTTATAAGTGAAATAATGTATCCCAGTTTATTAAAAAATATATTTTCAAATATGGATCTATCAACAAAGTGTGTGTTAACTGCTTAGTTTCGTCGATCGCTACCGTGCATAAAGTTAGATATATTTGTAGCGGTGTAATCTAATATTTTCCTTTGACATTGTCGTATATACTGTTGCTGCTTATGGTAGATTTTTAAACATCCCTTTATGCCTATAAATGCCAATCCGCCTAATACTGTTCGATGAAAATTCGATTTAATTGTGTCAAAGAAAAACTTTCCAAAGATATTGGCTATTGTCGGCATCAGTAATGCACCACAAAGCACTCTAGTGGCTGAAACTGGGTCAGACAAAGGCGGGATATCGTTATCTGTTCTAGTCACATTAGGCACTACATCCAAACTACAATCAAAAATAATTACGCATTGTAAAATGGTGATTACCATACCGAAAAGGTAATATATTTTTAACCAGGGGAATTCTCGCGACATATTTCCTCATGAAATTTAAGACTGCATCTTCCCAACGTATCAATTTGCCTACGATTAAAGCGATTGGTATGGCAGGCAAACCAATTAATAAAACCAATGGATCAGATTGTTCCATTACAGCTAAACCTTCTTTTTGGCCTACGACCTGAAATGGAACAATGAGCACACAATAATTTTTGAAATTACAACACCTGCATCACAGTAATTGCCCCGTATGTAACGGCACACCAATAAACAGCACCAACAACTATACCAGCTGCAAGGAAAGGGCATCCTTTATATATAAAGTTGTCGACAGTATCCAGCATAATAACCACAAACCCATATTGGGAAACACAATTATATACTCCGTTTGGCACTGAGGACACGTAACTCGTCCCGAGTTACTTCCCTTTTGTTTTTCATCAACCCATCTTTGTATGCAAGCCTGATGAACCTAATTTCTCTACTACACAAAATGTTTCCATAACTTCTCCATTAGCTTACCCATTTTGTGGTGCCACGGCAGTTGCAAGGTTGTACCCAGGACGCTTCCAAATCATCTTCCTCTGTCGCAAAACACACCCAGCAGTATCGTGACTCTTTACTTACAAGGGGGTAAGTTTCGGGATCGCTATCGGTGCTACTGGTGGAAGTCATAGTTTTTGGTTTGATGAAACTTCTGCTATGTTGAAGACATGTCGAACACTTGGTTTAGGCTATTAAAACCGCATGACAGTATTTTTTTTAAAGTTTATACGAAAATTTTTGATAATGGTTGTCAAAAATGAAGAAATTGTCAAGTTAATCATAAATACAACGTTGTCAATCTTATTATATAATATTGGAAACTGGTGACATTTTTATACATTCTCCCATATGAAATATACAAAGTTACTTAAATGGCATACGGGCATAAATCACAATTCTTTGGAGAAGGTACACTTACTAACGAGCTCCTAAGCGAGTTCATGATTGGACTGTGTACATGATAATTCTGGAACGGTTTCGAATTTTCCAATTCGGTTTTCAGGAATAAGTAATAAACAATGGCCAAGAAACTAACTGATGAAAATTTGGTCGTTTGCACGACAAAAAACGAGTTCATGATGTTGGAGTTTCCGTCCGGCCGTCCGTCTGTGCAGATGATAACTCACGAACGCCGGTTTCGAATTTTGAAATTCTGTTTTCAGGAATTTTAACAAATCTTTTTTTAGAATTATAGTCACGGATCTGTGCCCCTGCGTCATTGATTTGTGAATTAATTTCGGTGTTGTGCAGATTTTCACACCTGCTATATGTTGCAATGTTTCGGCGTAGATATATAGATAGGTCTGAAAATGATTTACAAATCAATGACGCAGGGGCACAGACCCGTGACTGTAATTATACATAAGAACCACTCATTAGTATTGGAACGTTAGTAAAAGGGAATTAGTATTTTTTTGCAAATACCTGCTGTATTTTGTACGAAAGCCGCCATAATGGCGATTCCCTTCGCCCACGTTTTGTTTTTAATCTCGTCTTCCTTGGCAACTCGTTCGCATAAGCAAATTTTTTGAGGAGGACTTCTTGAACTGAAGCATAAAATTTTCTACGAATAATAAGGTTTTTCAAAAAACTTACTTTCTATTAGCTAAACATTTACAAATTCCGGATTTTTCATGTCTACCTTCACTCCAACGACGATTCTCCACATTTTAGTGGCTTGTGGGAATATTATCTCTTTTTCTTTGAAGCACCTTGTAGGTACGTGACTATAACGAAGCAGATGGTAGCCACAGACTGGCAGAAAAGTGGCAACATCGCTATCCCACCAAAATAACCTAAATAATAAATTAAATGAACAATTTTTGACAAAAAATTATAAATAATGAATTCAAGTGATAGTATTTATCACGAAAAACAAGTTAGAGAACTATGCGCCCTCCACGCCCTCAACAATTTGTTTCAAACTAAGGGATATTTTTCAAAATTAGAGCTCGACACAATTTGCCACTCACTTTCTCCCGATGTCTGGATTAATCCTCATAGATCCATATTTGGTTTAGGAAACTACGACATAAACGTTATAATGAAGGCTTTACAATGCAAAGGTTACGAAGCAATTTGGTTTGATAAACGAAAGTATAACGACAATTTGATGCGACGCTTATGACAAACCTCTGTTGCAGAGATCCGAGCTGTTTAAATTTAGATAATATTTGTGGATTTATTTTAAACGTCCCCAGTGAGTACAAAATTGGTTTCGTTATGCTACCATTAAGGCGGAGACATTGGATTACGTTACGACAAATTAACGGATTCTTTTATAACTTAGATTCAAAATTAGATGTTCCACAAATAATCGGAAACGTAAACGGTATAACTTCTTAAAATTCTTCTACACTATTTTCTTGCAGAGTGAAGACTTGTTAGAATACTTGAAAGAGCAGTTAGAGTGTAAAGACAAAGAACTTTTTCTCGTTGTTCAAAGTGAAGTTGATAGCAACCAGTCTTGGCTTTTAAATAAAACCGTATACACTAACCACGTCAGGGAACGTGATGCCGAAATAGTTCAACTGAAAGACATTGTAAGTGACGGTGTAAATGTTACAATCAATCCCCTGTGTGATAAACAGACAGACGATCTAACTGACAATTGGTGAAAGATTGTTACAGTAGTTGCATGTTTTAATTTCAACCTAAACGGTTCGGAATCATATTACTGGCTGTTTAATTTAAGCCAAATTCTCAAAAGTTTTGATAATACATTTTTTGTTAGATGTATATTTCATAGTGCAAATAAAGAAACCGGAGAGAGTGTTATGCGTGTAAAGATTTTCGTATTTCACGCAGTTTAAGACACCAGTTTTTATTCCATGTTGAGATGCAAGCGAAGTGTTGTATTACCTAGTTCTGTATTTTGGTTGTGGAAACCTAAAACGGTTTTAATTTCTAAGTAACTACTTACGTGCACAAAATTCATGGTCTAGTTTGTACCGAATTGAAACAATATTTTCTGGATTGTTTACGTATTGTGATATTTTAATATTTGTGCATATTGTGAACTATTGTGAAACTTTAATTGAAATAAATTTTTTAACATAAGTATAGGTACTTACTTTTAATATAGTTTATTGTGTGAGAATACAGAAATGGTGAATTGGAAGGACTAAAATCAAGTAAAAATTACAACTAAATGTTGGGCTTATTGGCCTAAAAACGCTTTTGCCGGTCGTGTGACTCTCATTCAAGCAGCAGCAGCTACAGTGTAGGTAAACAAACTGGATGATAGCAGATCAACCTCTTCCATCCAATCCTGGAGATTTAAATGGTTGGAATTTTAATTTTTGTGTCGTCTATGATAAGTTCTCTAATGTATCCTTCACATTTCCTGCTTCATTATCACTAGGTTCCTGCAGCAGGCTGTTACTGTAACTCCATTTTTTCTTTCCTATATGGGTTTTCTTTTGGATTTGTCATAAAGGACCTGGATCTTTTTGGTCTTGTATATGTACTCAGGGCTTCATTTGAACTATCCCTTTTGGTGTGTTTATACAATTATTATCATTAGTTCACTATCATTATTAGATCAGAAGAAATAGCCAATAGAATTAAAGAGATTGTTTTGTTGGTTAACGACACACAATAAACCTTTATAGTTTCTATTGGCTATAGTAATTCATAATGATCTATTCTAGTACATACATAACTTATACTCGCGTCCTAATAAAAATTACATTAAATTCCTCGTCTTTAATGAAAGACACCTTATTTTGAGATCCCGTTCAGATCTCCTTATAACGTTGTTATAGGAATTTCTGATTTCTTTTTTTATTCTCCATCCCCTTAATTTGATTTTCAAGATCTCCTTTTTTCCTTGCAACATTTTTTTGTCTAAACCTTTTTCTTTATCTCTATCTCCTCTATGCACTCTTCATCTAAGTAAATCCTTTCTTTTTCTTGTGGTATTCCTTTATGTTGCTTATTCTTTCTCTTTCTTGAGTAATTCTCCTATGTCCTTCCTTATACTTTCGCGCCACCTCCTCATTTTGAAGCGCACTTACATTATATCTTACTTGTTTCCTTCTTAAACTTCTTTTCCTTTCTGCTCTTTCCATAGGTATCTTTCAACTTTATTTGCACTCCCACCAGATCTGACTTTTATTATTTTTTCATGTCCCTTTTCGGATGTCGTTTCTTTGGAAATGTGTGCTCATTATTTTTAGATTATTTTCTATTGCTAACGACATCATTGTCATTACTGTTCGTGTGCTTGCTTTCCCCTCCCACTATCTTCATTTCAGACGTGGCATTTGCATCACCCATTATTATTACCTATGCGTTTTCCTTTGGGATGCTGTCTATTTTACTCTAAAACCTCATAGTATATATCTTTTATCTCTTCCTCTATTTCCTCAGTAGGTTATAGCAGTTATATTTATTATGGATATATGGAAGGAAAATAAAACCTACAAAATGTAATTTTTTAAATACATATTAGATTAGTACCTACCTATTAATAGCGTACATACAGAAAATGCAACGATTATTTTGCAAATTCCAGTACTGTTAATTCCAATTTTTTACAAAAGTCATGCTTTTGGGTCACTGACTGTTTCGGTTAAACGTGATTTCGTTTACTAGTTTCTACTGTATTTATTTTTTTTACAAATTTTGATTTGCAAGGTGGAATTGTGTGTTGCCTATCACCAGTACTCCAGTCTCTCATCAAAGCATCTTTTAGTTGCACCATTGAATTTTTATAAATTCAATGGTTGTACCAAAGAGTACTATTTGGTTGTACCATTGAGTAATTAAATTCACTCAACGGTTGTACTGTTAATTTTACCGTTAAATAAAGTATTCGATTTTACTGTAATTCTTTACTAAATGAAGAATTTACATACAAATTTTAGGTATTTGATAACAATTAACATCGTTCAAAAATACATCTAAGTACATAACTTTGGTAATAACAATACAACTTGTTAACAAATCTAATTATAAATACTATAAAAATATACCTATAATTACTCTTTGGTAAATTAAAATGCAAAAGCAAATTTTACAGATTCTGTACAGGTGTATAAGTTACCGCAGATGACTTTGAATATATCCAAAAAAGGAACAACTGAAATCCAGACAGAAGGCATCCCAAAATATTCGGTATCTGTAAACAATCAATCAGTTAAGGCCTGTCTACAGTAAACGATCTTCACCTGTATGAAATAGTCGTGAAGAAGAGCTCCGTAAAAAAACCACTGTATCGTAACAATGAACGTCATTAATATAATTGGGAAGGGCAAACTGTCTGCCGATTTCACTCTAATGATGTACATCAGAGATGTTAAAGGAGCGGCAAAAAACATTATTGTCAATGCACATGATAAAAATCCGACATACTTAATCGAGATCTCCGTACTAAATCCATTTACTAAATAAAGTAATAATGTTATTATACCGAACACGCTTCCCACAAATTGCCGAAGGACAACAGTCTAAAAATAAACATTGCTCTTATCACAAAGTTGATAACGGTTCATTATACTCATTGTACCTTTTTGATACTGAAAAAGCAAAACAGGGAAGCGTACGAGAAGTTTAAAGCTGTTCCAACTGTATTCACAAAAATTAGTGTGGGATCTCCAATTAAAAACCCATAGCCTAACCACGAACTGGCAGCCAAGAATCCGGATATGAAGGGTAGTCCAGATAGGTCGCCGGTGCTTTTTTTCTGTACGATTTTTAAACAAACCAAACTGAAACAATTCCATGCACTGCATTTGTGTAAATAAATCTGTTTACTTACGTTCCCGCGAGACTTTGAAAAATTGTAGTTATCGAAGCAGTAAATGCCAAAATGTTTCTTAAATCTTCCCTGTTCATATCATTTATATGCAGGTGTTTTAGTGAGGAATTTAATTTAAATTTGTGATTAATTAAATTATCGACACCTTTTCTAATGGACCACGCAACCCGTAAGGTTGTTCGTTTTAGATCGGGTTGTAGACGAATTTGGACGATTTTACCTGTCCTTTCAGATTAAGGTGCAAGAAGGAACACTATTGGTGTTCGAATAGCCATTTGATTTCCTTGTTTTGGCGCCACTCTGTGGTTACTATACAGCTTTATGAGAAAAAAAAGGAACAGATCAAGTCAACACTACAGATAACGATAAGATAATGAAAAATGTAATTTTTGTATCCAGCATCTCATACCTACTTCGGGTATTGTTATCTGGGTTTTTTGTTTGAAAATGTTTCAAGTTCTATTTACAAACTATAAATACTAAGTAAATAGTATAAGTGGGGTGTCACAATTTGGTCAATAAATTATGATTTCTTTAAAATTTGGATATAATGCTTTGACAGACTGCTTGCTTGAATGGATGGCGAAGTAATTACCTATCTTTGCTACTGGGAATTATATGTTTCAAAATTGATGGCGCTTGCTTTGCTTGGCATTCGTGTAAGTAATAAAATTACAAAAAATAAAATCGGCCATTTTGTTTACACATTTTGAGCTTTATGCATCGAGGTAGCATTCGAATTTACACTCCCGTGGCATATCCCGCCAATGGGTTGCTACAAGATTTTACGAAACGTCACAAAATGGGTTCTTGCAAATATCTAGAACCCTTCTCGCTTAATCAACGGACTCGGCTCTGCATATTTTTCCTCCGGCGTAATTCTAGGAAATTTCTCTAACTAGGATGCTAGCCGTCGCCGTCGTCGTTCGTCTAATATCTATTTGTCTATGATGCAATCACACTATACATAATTCAAGGTACAAGGTGTAATTACGCCTTTAAATTATACATTGGGTACTTTAGCCACAGTCCAAACTCTAAATGCTTAACCTCACTTTTTTGTTTTGTAATTTGTGTTAGCACGTGAAAATAATTCATCTTTAGAAATAACCCAAAGAATGGCAAAGACAAAAAATAAGAAGAAAAATCTCGCAGAGCACATCAGCGATAAGAAAAAATCAAAAAATGCCAAAACCTTAAATCCCTTCGAAATGCACATAAATAAAGAGAAAATTAAAGTACTTGGTCGCAAGTTGAAGAACGACAGGGGTCTTCCCGGCGTGTCCAGAGCGAAAGCTCTCAAGAAACGAAAGGGAACGCTTTTACAAGAGTTTAAACTTATGAACAAATCTAATAAATTCATCGATAAACGTATTGGCGAACATAATTCTGGTTTGTCCGAAGACGATCGTGCCATGGCACGTTACGCTGCTGTAAGGTTTAAGGCTCACAAGAAATCGTCAATATTTAACCTTGCCAATGACGAAGTTTTGACTCACAAAGGACAAACTTTGAGCGAAATCGAGAAGTTCGCCAACACAAGGTCCGACGATGAAAGTAATGCAGACGAAGATACCGGTAGGTTAGAATCGGATTTCGTTGAAGATGCACATTTCGGCGGTGGTGTTCTGACTAAAACGGGAAATGAGGGTTTCAAGTCGCACAAGGACTTAATTAATCAGTTGATAGCGGAATCGAAAAAACGCAAGGCCGAGAAGCAGAAGGCGAAGGAGCAGACGCTCGAGCTCACTGAGAAATTAGACGAGGAGTGGAAGGATCTCATTCCGCTCGTTAATAATAGTTTCAAAAGGGTAGCCGAAGTGCAGGCTGACAAATCGGAGGTGGATGATTACGATAGGATTATGAAGGAGTTGAAAAATCAACCTCGCGGTTACGCTACAGATCGTTTGAAGACTGAGGACGAAATTGCCAGGGAGGAGAAAGAGAAATTGGAGCAATTGGAAAGGGAGCGACTAAGTAGAATGAGAGGGGTTTTTGAGGACGACAAATCTGAAGCACCGAAGCATCGTAGCGCTGACGATTTGGATGACAATTTCGCTTATGATTTTGAACCGGAGGTTACATTATCATACAACGAAAAGGGGGAGTCGAATGTACCTGTAGACAAGGAGATGAGAGTTGAGGTGGATGGTGTTGAAGAAGAGGAGGAAGAGAGTGAGGCGGTTGAAGAAGAGGAGGGGGACAGTGAGGCGGTTGAAGAAGAGGAAGATGGTGACGCCGAATCAGAAGATGACCTTTCTGATTTGAAAGAGGAGGATAGTTCTAGTGACGACGAGATGAATGGAGACAATGAGGACAGTGATAGAGAAAGTAGTGTGACTGACAATATAAAAGCAGATTTACTGGTCCGGAAAGAAATGATGGAGAAAGCTAGGGAGGAGCTGCCTTACACATTCACTCTTCCAAATTCGTACGAAGAGCTACATGAACTTCTACACAATAAATCGGCAGAGCATCACTGTGTTATATTGGAAAGGATGATCAAATGCAACCATCCTAGTTTGGGGGAAGCTAATAAGGAGACTTTAGGACTGCTATTTGTGTACCTTTTGCAATACATTGACGACTTGAACCTAAATTCTGACATTGTAAACTGTTTTAAAATCTCCAATTTTTTAGTGCCTCAACTGTTTGATCTTGCACAGCTTAATCAAGAGAACGCCCAACAGGCAATTTCAGAAGTGATTAAGGAAAAGCAAAGGGACTATCGAAAGAACAAAAAACTATTTCCCAGCTTAAACGTTTTAATATTTTTGAAAATTGTGAGTTGCCTTTTTCCAACATCTGATTTTAGGCATCCGGTTGTCACGCCGACAATTGTCTTCATGGATCAAATGCTGCATAATTGTAGGATAAGGTCACGAAGAGACATCGCCTATGGATTGTTCCTGGTGACGTTGGTGTTAGAGGTTTGTATCAATTTATTTCACTTGTCTCATTATACTTGAAGTTTCATTCATAAAACCAAAAAATTTTATAGCAAGATCACATTGGTCCAATTGGTCGTCAGCACGCTAAGAGGCGTCCATTTAATTATTTAAGGAAGTAATTGAAGGAAAACAGTTCTTTTGTTTTGAAAACTTTATTGTTTAAAGAAGGTCGTCTACAGGTTTTCATTACAAAATTTGTACCTAATATATCTACATACTCGTCTACATAGGTACCTACAGAAATCCTATGATCTCTGTTACGAACCCCCACCATAGTACCTATGGCATTTAAGTTCCCCAATGCTGTAGATATGTGTGTTTTTAAACTTGCAGGTGAAATAGGAACTTGAAATTTTGTTTAAAGCCATAATAGGCCATTGCAAATTGAAATAAAATAATTTCAAGATGGCGCCGCTTCAGCGTATACCGGAAGTAGCGCCATTTTGTTTTTTAGATAGAAACACTATTTTCTATTTTATTCTGATTTCAACGCAATTAAGATGAAGTACTGTAGTGAGACAGGGCTCGAGACAGGGATAATTACTCTTTCTCTTTTGCTAGAATTCTAGAGGATAGTGTTAGGACCCTAGATGTTACATTGTGTCTTGTGGTATTTTCGTGGGTATTTTAAGTTACAATTTTTTGAGGTCGTCGTCTGCCTGCAAATGATTCATTTTAATGTAAGAAATGCATTTTCAGAAACCCTCAATTTGAGATGGAAAAATCTCCAACATCTGTGAAAGGTTAGGATTCTTGCTGTACCTTGCATTACCTTCTTCTTTCTAATACCCAAAGGCGGTGAGATGGTGTCACACCAACTTATCGTATGCAGGAAAAGAATTTGCTATGGTTCGTATTTGAACGAGTGGGATGATTGTACCACAAAAGGGCTGTTACATTTCCCACTCTTCTAAAAATAGATGTTCTTTTTGGAAGAACCAAAAGCAAGGAGTAGCACCAGAAAATCTATGCCTTTCCCTGTTATGATGACAGCAGTCCCCACAATCATTACATCTGCTTCTTCTACTACCCTCTTGGCGGCCATTTCACTCTTCAGCATGGTTATGAAGTTCATCTTATTGCTATCATTAAAAACAAATTTTGTCGCGAAATTTTTTGCTGGAGTCTTTTGAGATGACATCTGTGGATGTGTCCGCGGAGTACAGGGATGAGGTTGGTGCGGTTGCGCGTTTTTTTAAGGTTAAGTCGAGGTTGGGTTCGGGAGAAGGTAATGCCGATATATTTGACGGTATGGAAAAAGGGGAGGTGGATACCTTGTGGGGATAGGTTAATGTGGTCGCTGGATTGTCCACTTGCCCGAAATTGGGATGCCGGAATAAAATGGTTTGGGTTTTTGGCGGGGTTATAATGGTGATCCTCGAGCAGTTGGCCCACTGGAATGAACATCAACGCCGCCGCCTCTCTACTGCAACGATTCGTGGTCCAAAGGGCCGGTAGGAGTGTCTCTAGTATAAACCCCGTACCTTCCAGCTACCCCCCCATTTTTGATTATATCGACTGGACTATTAATATAAGCCAATGCGACACACCACACCACAAAAAATGTCAAATTAATTGAGAGCATCGAGGTTTAAGTTCAAAACAAGTGTGGACGGACTGTGAACAACGCGAAATTGAAATCGGATTTCGCGCTATTGGATTAATAAAAAATAATAAAAAAAACTCCTACAAGGATTGCCTTGCTCTATGTTGCCGGTACTCAAAAGTCAAGGTAAATGGGCTATGGCAAATAGAAACCGCAATCAAAAGTGGTTTAAGTGCGAGCTAGAAAGATTACCTTTGTTGCCTTTTTAATTAATTAATTATTTAGATTACAATTAATGATATTAAAGAATCCATTCCTTGATTGTCATTAAATCATGGCCGACTACTAAAAAGAAAATCCGAAAAAAACGCACCAATTCAATGAATGGGAATAAGTAATATCAAAATATGTCAATTTTGATTCTTTATTAAATGCAATAGTAAGAAAATGGGCATTTCATTAAAAAAAAACTAAGTTTTTAGCTCAGTTTTTAGTCTTTGAAATTTCTTAAATTTGGATCCATAGGTACGTAGTCCAGGGAATAGAGGGTTTTAATTTGCAAAATGAGAAGTAGTTCCAATTTCTTATGCATGTCATAGACAGTCATCTGGTGGTTAAAAATCTAAGTTTTCGACCTTACACCCCTTGTGCTTCCCCCGTACCAACCCCAAAACCCTTGAAATTTGGTTGGTTTCTTAGTTTTTCAATCATATCTTTTTATAGGTTCACTTTACAAAAAAATATTGTTATTAGAAATTGTAGATCACAAAATTCGACACAACTTTGATATACATTACTTTTTTTGTGAAATGTTTATTAAAAAAAGATATAGAGCTTCAAAGTTGCGTATGTTTTTAAAAATCCTGAAATCTATGTAGATGTTTTCACCAAATTTTATACTTTATCTCTATAATTAAGAATTTTATGAGAAAATATCTTGAACTTATTGTGGTATAAATCCCGCGACCCTGCACCCTTACCAAAGGGGATGCATAATAATTCAACTTTCAACCCTTGCTAGTGAGGATATTTGAATGACTGTGAGATTGTAGCGCTTTGTAATGTACGTTTGTTGATTGTTTCACTTCATTTCAGGAAATGAACTCTCCTGAACACTCGTTCTAGTTTAACCCTTTCAAAAATCACTATAGGGGGTTGAAGTAGTCCCTTTTTGTAGGAGATTGAAACGGGTTAAAATGAAGACCACTTTTCTTATTTGATAATTGTATTCGGAAGCGCATAATCACACAGATGATTCAAATACCTACTGTTAATTTAACTAATCAACAATTGCTCAAGATTTAGTTACTTTATCGAGTTCCTATTAAACTGAATTAATAAAAATACTTTGCTGTAATGTAAGGTTTATTACAACTCAACTGCTCTGAGGCAGATTCGGTTAGACACTGAAATTTACATTATTCTTTGTAATACAGGTAAACAAGTAAGAAGGGGGAATTTTACCAATAACCAGTTTTCATTTGTTAAGTATTAACACCTACTACGACCAAGGGGTTGAAGTGCTATCATCCCCTTTGATAGGGGTTCAGGGTACCGAAATTAATAGCACCATAGCTTCATAATCGAGGTATTTTCGCATATAAATGTTATGATTATAGAGATAACATATAATTTCCTTAAAATATGTACATGTACATACATTTTGGAATCTTCAAAATAAAGACAAACTTGCAGTTCTGTATCTTTTGAAATAAAAAATTTACGAAAAAGAAGTATATCACAAATTTGTGTAAAATTCGATGGTCTACAGTTTCTGATAACAATATTTTTTTGTAAAGTGAATCTATAAAAAGATATGATTGAAAAACCCAAAAACCACCCAAATTTCTTTGGTTTTAGGGGTGGTGCGGGGGAAGCACAAGGGGTAGGAGGTCGAAAACTTGGATTCTTAACCACCAGATGTTCCTCCATGACATGCAAAACCAGGTGTCAAATTCTTGACAGAATAGCTTCCTAGCTGAAACCAAAAATTGCCAACATATGTACGCACTTACAGACGGGAAAAATTTATTCTTTAAAAGTTGCTTAAAATGATCTAAAACGTCAACATTTGATGAAATTAAATTTCGTTTAAATTGCTTCAGAAACAAGATCGTTGCGTTGTGCACATATGCAACACAATTTTTTGACTTTGACAACTTTTTTCTCCGTTTTTTGATAATATAACCCGGCCCAATTTTTTGTAGGTTGTACACAGGAAAATAAGGTCTTCCAAATAATAGAATAAAAATTTTAGGTTGCTATTTGAAAAAAAAAGTTCGATGCCGTTACGGCGCTCCAAAATTTTTTTTCAAAAGTCAAAAAATTTTTCTGTTCGGTATGCCTAAAACATACCTATATACAAAATTTCAACAAAATCCGTCGAGCCGTTTTCTCAGAAAATTGCCAACAAACGTACGTACGTACATACAGACGGAAAAAAATTTTATTCTTTAAAAGTTGCTTAAAATGGTCTAAAACGTCGACATTTGATGAAATTTTGAAATATTCAAAAAACGGCTATCGCAATAGCTACCTAGCACATGCTAGGAAGCTAAAAATTGGAACTACTTCTCGTTTTGTAGGAAATGGTCCATTTTCAGTCTCTATTTCCCGGACTAACGGTCGTACGCAACTTAACTTATCCTTTATCTATGCAACCGTTTTCAAGTAATCAATTTTCAATGTACCGTCTGTATCCGCCATTTTTTTTCAAGTCAAATTAACTTAAAACCCATACATTTTATAGGTATATCGATATGTGGGTATTAATAGAACTGAAATTTCACTAGAATCTGAAAATGCAACAAAAAATAGGGGTTGCAATTTAAAATAACGAACTTACTAGGTATTTCCGGAAGTGTCACCATTTTGAAATTTTACATCGATTCGGCTTCAGAGTAACTCCTAAGTACAGATTTTAAAAACCATACCTATTTCACTTGCCCAGGAACGTTTAACCAAAGCGTATTTAACGAATTTGGTTTAACTAAACTTCCCAAAAAAACACCCTCGTATAAACTACTGTGGACAACTGATTTTAGTGACTCGGGCACATTTACGAACGCTCAATTCAATTTATTATATTATAAACAGGGTACTTCACACTAATTGTGACTTCTTATAAACATCACAGTCTTCTACCATAGCAGTACTACTACTGCCTAAATTGGTAATGGCTGTCAGTGTAATTTTGCATCGAAATTCTTGATATATTACTTTGATGAGTGTGTAGCTACCGTAACATTTTTGTAGTTTACAGCATTATCAAAACGCTACCTTCCATCCGCCACCAAATTTCTCGCCGGAGTGCTCCACATGGCCATTCCAAAACCCTGCGTGAAGCAAATAAAAGTTCTTCCGCCTTTTCGTTCCATCTCCAGCCATCTTGTTTTAACTAAACGAACCACAACGCTAACCACTACGAAGTTAGAACTGACCGATTTAACCGAATTGGATATATCCGAGGATTTTAAACAGAGAAGTCTACAGGTTGCACTGCAATTAGTATCGGAATTCAACGAAAATTTCCATGAGTTGTCGTCAAACTGCGAAATATTTTCTCCGATTGAGGAATATTTGGGACAAATCCCCACTGCAAATTATACACCCGATTTGAGACAGTTGCTGGGGGAGATTCTGGATAAATTGAAATCGAATCACGATAAGAAACTGTACTACATTGTCATGCAGGCGAGCAAACCAAAGGCGCTGAGATTATACGAGCCGAACATTCAGAAAGTGTAAGTAAGCGTGTTCCCATAGATGACGCTCAATTTCTGTTCCTTAGATATGATGTGAAGAGCAGGAAGATAATGTCCAAGGAAAAAATGGAACGCGCGAAGCTGCTGCACAAGATTAAGGTGGAAAAGAAGGGCGCCCTACGCGAAATCCGCAGGGATAAAGCGTTCCTGGGACGTGTTAAAATTAAGGAACGCATTGAAAGGTAAACGCACGTGTCGTAACATCCTGATAATAACCCTCGCTTTTCAGTGATAAGCTCCGGAAAGAAAAGGTTAAGAAAATATTCGCCGAGGCCAACATTCAACAGTCAGAACTCAATTCAATGGACCGCAAAAATCAAAGGCGAAGAAAATAAACGTAATGATTCGACTAATTGTTTATTATTGCTCTTAAATATTTAGGGATTTTGGGTTTATCAAAGCAGGTGGGATTCCATTGGAATGACATGCACTCGTATGGTACTGGGGAAGGTTGGGGTTGCTTAATTGCCATCGGAAGGCATCTTTTCCATATTCCCAGATATTTAACGGCCAGAAAATGCTTTCGGCGATATTTTTCTAGGGCGAGTTTTTCCCTTTCTTTGTGTAAATTAAACGCGCTTGTTAAAAGAATCCGAATTCCACTACGCAGCATGTGACTTCGGTTGAAGTCTTCTACCGCATGTAAATGTGCTTGTAATTTTTTTTTCTCGTCCACGTGCGCTTTAAGCCTTTGAAGCGCTTTTTGTTTAGTTTTTAAACTGTAGATCTTCTCCGACTCATTCATTTGCTCTCTTGTTAATTTCAGTCTTCTAGCTGACTGTTTCCAAAGATGTAACATTCTGCGCATTGTGCTGGATAGATAGTGTTTGTCTGCTTGATTTACCATTCTCCTTTTTTGCCGACTGATGGCACAAAACGATCGCCATTTGTCAAAAGTTCTTTGCAAAGTTAATTGCTTCACCGCCATATTAATACGGTCGTATAAGGTACGCTTCTGTGCTTGGTATATCCGGTAACCAACTAAAATGAGAAAAGCTTTCTTCTCCACCTGTCTCGCATGAAACTGGCACGCATTCTCATACTTTTTCTCGTTTATTAAACGCACTCTGCGTTGATTTCGCAAAATGGTGAAACACCTCCTTTGAGATTTCATCGCTAATGTCGCCACAATTCTCCAATGCGCTTCTCGCTTGCGTTGTTCTCCGTTCTTATACTTTACTATCGCCTTAAAACATGCTTGCATTAGTTTATTTGTGGCAAATTGGCAAGCATGCCTTTGCTTCACATGTTTCGACCTTCGAACGTCTCTGTAAGTTACAAAGGCTTTGAAACATTTGTGAAGTAAAGATTTTTCGTAAAACAAAACCGCCAGCTGCTTCTCGTTGTTTTTGCGCGTTCTTCCTCGCGCATAACTCTGTAATAGATGAAAATACACCGACTTGAGTTTCACATTCACACGTTGCCTCATCAACTCCACCTTTTGTCTTGTACCCAATGAAATGCTGGTGAAATAAATCCAAGATCGCAGCGCTACAGCCAAGAGTCTTGGATTGCACTTAGCTTGTCGAAACACTTCAATTAATTCGCAGTGACTTTTTTTAAGTTTACGTTTTTCTGTATACATTTGCAGTTTCCTAAAGTAATACTTGAAGACCCGACTTTTAAAAGCATGGAGATGTAGTACGTTGACATAATGCCGGATGGTTTCTTGAAGGTAATTGTTGTGAATGTTAAGGGTATTCATATACAAAAATGCAAAGATTTTGTACTGCACAGCACTTTGGTGTATGAGGCGTCCCCTGCTGTGTAAACTTCGAATGTCTTTCAGGTGAGCAAAACATTTAAGCTTCAAACGGTTCTGATAGAAATAAACTCCAATTTGTTGCTTAATTTTCTTTTGTTTTCGGTTCATTATGTAAAATTTCCATCTTGAAAATGACTCATATTTTAACCTGGTGTAGTAGTGCACACTTGCTCGTAACAACAACCTCCATTGTGCTCTCTCTTCGAACCAAACTGTCTTTAACTTTCTGAACACTTTTTTCAATACCGAATGTTGGTAATGTTTTATTGCTTTTCGTATCGATATTGTTGGCATTATGTTATGAAGTAAATGGGATAGCATTTCCTTGAACTTTAAGACAGTGACAGTTACTGCGGTTACCATTATTATTATAGCAGCATTTATCAAGGTAGGTATAGTTTAGAAAACTATGAAGATGTGTAATTAATCCAGTAGCAAAAAAATGTGCCAAATTCTTAATAGATCAGCTTCCTAGCTCAAACCAAAAATCAAGCTTTTAGAAGGATTTTCAAAAAATGTATAGTGAAATACATTTATTTAAATGGGACACTGTATATAAATTATTTAAGTTTACAGCAACTCACAAAAGAAATGACCGGTACACTACAATTTTCTCGTTCAGCGTTTGCAGTGCTTCTAGCGTTTTGTAGACCAGTTTCGAGCATATTTCCGGCTACTTCGAATTAGGTTTTCTTGCAGTTTTCCTAATTCGCATTACTACAGGAGTAGTAATAGAACAATAACTTAAGACCTTCTGTAGAGGCACCTCTAAAAAGCATTATGCGGGTCACTCTGTAATTGGGCGCAAGCCTGTTGAGGGCCCAGAACAAGAGAGCGATAATAAATAAATAAATAAAAGTAAACAACTATAATGGATACATGAAGTTTTGTGTATGTCAAGCACTCTAAAGAGAACTCTTCTCTTCTCGGGCCCACCTGGAGTGTCGTCCCTCTAGGTACGTGCTTGGTTTCAATACCACTCTTGCTCTTACCTTTGTTTAAATACGTTGAAAATAAGCTTTTTTTAACGTTATTGAAAACGCGGTTACCATATAACAACAATTCCCACGTACAGTTTGGTTTATGTAGAATTTTGTGCACGTCTAACATCAATCTTTGTTGTTTACTAAACAAAATTCCAAACCGAAATATGGCAAGGTGGACATAAACGTACAGATTCAATGATCGTAATAAAAAATGGTGCTACAAAAAGCACAATTTCTCAAAATAAAAATGATCCTGACAAACCACCCTGTATACAACCTACGCGGATACACCTGGCAACCGCCCTACTTTTTATTAGAAGGGGAAAGCGGGGACGGCGCCGTCTCGTAGAGACTACGTAAGGCATTTTAGTTTTAACTTTCGCCACGAAGCATCGTTCCGTCTACGTTTGTTCATTTGTTGTTATTTAATACAGGTAGTAATCTTTTGCATTTCTTTATAATTTATCTATAATTTGTATACATCTTATGTTTTTTAAAAATAATTTTCAATCTTTGATTTGAAATCTCAACGCTTGATCATGTGTATGTAAAGTTCCGTTAGCTTTTATTTGAAATCTCTTTCATTTTTGGTGCAATGTTTGCCCAACACTTTTCCGTGAAGAGAACGTCACTGGCCCTGGAGTGGTAAATAACTGTAACCACATTTAGTTACAACACCTAATGCCGGAACTGACCTCAAATCTCAACTATAGTCGCGCGAAGATTCATTATTACGATTACCCGTCTGAGGGGTCAGAATCTGCTAACACAAAACACTTCGTGTTAGAATATATGGGCGATATGAATTGCGATTCACTAATTTCCAAATGTTCCCTTAGTTTTAAACGTTGAATTTTCCGTCAAAGGCCATGTAATTTAACATCTTGCTTTTTACAAAAGGGTTGTATGCACCAATGATGAGTCACCTGTTGTACAGATACCTTGTTTTCTACCCCAACCGATTCATTGTTTCGCAAATTGTTCTTACCTTGTATTTACTGTCATATGTTTTGTGTATGTGATTTATATTATTTATCATGCTTTATTATCAATCAATTACAGCAAATTATCTTGCACATTAACAACAGTTTCCCTATTGCTCATTCGAGATTATTGCCTATTAAAATCACTGATCGCCTTGCAAAAACATGCAAAATAACCCAGTATATTGTTCTATTGTGCGTTTCTTCCCTACTGTAATACTTCAGGTCATAGCGTTGTTTACAATTTACAACTAACGTAAGGGGGTCCTGCCTTAAATGTTTGAACACTTGCCACTTTTTGATTTCATATTTACACCCCGTTCACACGGCGACAATTCGTCGTTCGTTATTTATAAGGACACTATTATTTTTTAATGGGTACCATAACCATAACACATTCTACGCGCAAGTTCACACGAACCTACGGTATTTCGAATTGTAAAAAATGACGGATACCCGTCTGTGGAAATATTAAGAACGGGTATTTTTAACGTCCTTGGAAAATATAAAGGAATGTAAGAACGAGTTTACACTAGATGTTTTGTCGACGAATGATCTTTTTTACGACTCGTGATTCTGTTGAGGTGACGGAGAGCTTCTACTTCAAGCCCTTGTCTTACAAGTGGATGCACCCAATATGGTTTTCCTCCGATAATACCTCCATCAAAGAAAAGTATCTAAGACTCACAGATACAAAAGGTATCTAGTTACAGGTATCGTTACAAGTGCCAAGATCTGTAACTAGAGCTTTCAAAAGTATCTAGATATGTCACAACACTGGTTTTAGCGATTTTATTGAGCTTTTAAGGTGGGTAATATATTATGGGAAACCCTGTATAATTACGATTTTAGTACTAAACACACCTCAATGGACCAGCGTCTGTGGATTCAAGCACTTTCCGGCCCCTCCAAACTTTGATCGTAAGCCTCTACTGTAGTAAACTATTGAGTTCTGTATTTTTTTGTAATGCAGATGTGACCATTCCTGAAAGAACAAAGTTAACCGTGATGGAAAGAGTACCACAGTTTCCGCCCGGTTTGAAACCACCAAAGATGCAAAAACGTCTACGCTACATGCGAGGCAAAGAAATGGTTCATAACTTTTTATTACATCAACAGTATGGGATTATGGTAAGCTCATTTGCAAGTCGCAGCAAACTCATGTTACTTTGGTAGGCATTGGGCGGTGGACGGTTAAAATATCAGCACTTTGAGGTAATGAGGTTGGGTATCGGACGCAAAATGGACACACAACGTATGTTTGCAATATGGCGAGTCGACGCGCCGTGGCAACCGGTCACGAAACGTGGACAAGGACAGCGCTTGGGTGGTGGCAAGGGTGCAATCGACCATTACGTCACACCAATCAAAGCAGGTAATCTGCAACAATTTCTTAAAATAGATTTGTACGTGATATTCTTTTAGGGCGAATCATTGTAGAACTGGGGGGGAAATGTGAGTTCGACGAGGTGAAGGATTTTTTGCAGAAAATCGCAGAGAAATTGCCATTCAAGGCGATGGCGGTGTCTCATGAGCTGTTGCAGGAAATGAGGCGAAAGGAAATAGAGGATGAGAAAAATAATTTAAATTTTTATACAATGAAATATGTAATTCAGAATAATATGGGCGGGTGCCAAAATTGGCTGTCCCCATTTGATTTTAAATGGTTTTGTAAGCATGTTTGAAAACTAGCGTTGATAATAAATTAATAGTTTTTTTAATAGTGGTCAATAGGTATTAATCTGTTAGGGGATGGGTCCTTGAAGTCCAGAACATTTAACAGAACTAAGTAGATCTGTCAATAATTGCATTAAAATAATTGGGGAAATCTTTATGAATGATGTACTTTCTTATAGTTCAATTAGACTAGACTAATCACCTTTGTAAGTGCAATTGTAATAATTGTTACTGCATAGTTCATGCAGGAATTAGAATTGGCAATTGGTTTGATATATTTAGAGTAATTTCAAACAGTTCCAAGATTGGGCTACTAGTTCAAAAGTTACAGCCCTTTGAATTTTCTTTCGAAATTGGTTTTTAGTCCATAACTTTTGATTGAGACGTCTAATCGAAAAAGTACAATTCGATTTGGATTCTACGCACCAAAATTAATAAGAAGAAGTGTTTTCCCGAGAAATTTTGGTGTAGTCGGTTTTTGGTAAAAAAGGAAGGTTTTTGAGGCCTCAAAAAAAATGCCTCAGATCGACCGGAAAAAAACATTTTCTTTCCTTTTGATGAGACCTACCATTACAATACCATGAAGGGTAGAACATGTGTTTACCCCCACCCCCCATTTTCTAAAGTTTAACTTGGCACCACTAAAGGCATGTGTATGCAAAATCTGAGAACTGAGATTTCTGTACAGTACTAGCGTTGAGTAGCGTAATCATTTCGAGAAAACAATCTGTATTTTTTTAACCTCCAATCTTTATAGTGGATGGTAATATTGACACATCTCACTATTCTATTCTTTACACTAAGGTAGGACTAATAAAAAACAAAACAAAAATAAAGGTTCAAACCACAAACGTTTAATGAAAAAAATCACATCATTTGGTGTATTTCCAATTGCGTATTAAAATATCTTATATCACAGTTTACAATATTGAATACCATATTTTTTAGACTGCTGAAATATTATTTTGTATTCTTAAATGTCACTTTTTACCCTAGTAATTAAAAAAATTGTTTAGTGTCCGCCATATAAGTCGTTAGTTAGAACCATAGATTACTGATCATCACTCAAGAGATAATTAATTAAAAAATAAAATACTGGCTGCTATAATACTATCTGTTCACAAGAATTTTAAGAGATCCATATAAGTTACAGTATTTTATCATTCCTGGTAAGAAGTAAAAGAACAAAACGCAAAAACACAAAATTTCGTAGAACTCATCAACAGTCAAGCAACTTTGATAAACTTAACTCTGCAGCTGTGTTTGATGCCATGTAGTATTGCGTCAAGTATCTAATTATATATAGCGGTACTATGGCCGTTATAGGTACGTTGATTGTGGCAAATTTCTTCCCATCAACTTCATATTTAACTGGTGTTGTAACTGGGAAGTGCAAAGCTTTGCTTACAATGCCTCCTATAGCTTCAACGCAGGACAAAAAACTATCGACCAAAACGACATAATCTGAAGCCTCATTCATTTCCTTTCGATATATCACATCAAGCATATATTCTTCTGTCAAAATCGCTCTCACATTTGCTCGAATGTTCTTCCACGCGGAGATGTTGGATGTGACGACGATGTTGCTGAATCCATTCATCAGCTTTTCAGTAATGCGAGTTTGAGCCAGCTTGTAACACTTTGCATTAGTATTTAACAAATATTCTGTCACGTTCTGTACATCATCTAGCACATCTTCTAAATAAATTAATCCGAGATGTTTAGCCACATAGGCGGCATTGCTTAGTGTGATTAAAATTAAAATGTCCACTTGACATAGTACTAATGGATCTCGCCTGAAATTACTAATGTGGCTGTCTACATTTATATTCTTTGCCTCTTGCACAACCTTACGAAGTTTCTTCTTTGGCTCAGTTTCTAATTTATCACCTGAATCAGATGATTCAAGTGACTCAGATACTGAACCGTCAGATAAATCTGGCACCGAAGAGAGCACAACATGTTGCACACCAACACTCCTTGTTACATTTGCAACAGATCTGTATTTATCTTTGTCAATGCCTTCAAGTTTCAGTTCTGGACATAGTACTACTCTATCTATCAAGTAGTTAAGTTCACAATCCAGTTTCTTGTAAGTGGGTTGCCAGGGGCGCAGCCCTCCATTAATCATCACTAAGTGCAGCAAATCCTTAATCATTCCATCAATGGGAATCACTTTATTAATTGTATATTCAACAAACTGTTTATGTAAATCTCTGCATCGTTGCTTAATATTTCTAGTACCGGTATTTGACATTACTAAGTACAGATCCTTACGTAGCATAGGTTCGGAAGTGAAGCAGGATGGATAATAAGAATCTTCTCCAAAAATAGTTTTAATCGATGTCAACCTATTACAAACCTACAAGGAAAAAAATGTCTGTAAAAATATAGCCCATTTCCATTCTGCAATTTATTTTGTAATGATAAAGCAGTACTCACTTTTTCATCATTATTTGATCGTCCATCATTATCTCCACTATTGAGTGAATTCATTGCCTTAATAGAATCTCCTCTGATGATTAACACACTCTAGAAATAAAAACCACAGCTTCTGTGTAAAAACATTTAATAACTTCATAACAATAACAATATTTTTATTCAACCACATGAAACATCACTAGAAATTGCATGGTTGCCAACTCTCAAAAATGTATGTATCGTCGCAAGTTGTATATACAGGGGCGGAACCTCTCAACCGTGGTAAGACTTTGTTGTATATAACAGATCAGTAAACAAACTCGAGTGGCAAACAACGCGTGCTGATAGCGGATTAAATCATTATTCGCTCATTGACAGTTTACAATCTCTAGTGAAATTCAATTCTTGACTTGTAAATAACTTACAATGCGCGCGCACCTTGCATTCTCTGTCTCACTTTTTTAAAACTTTCCACAACAGTCCACCAGTAATTATTTATTTCGCAACGTTCAAAATATTTATGACCTGAACAACCGCACGCATGGAATCCTTGACTCGATCTCTTCCCGCGGGCGAACCGTCGTCTATCTCGCGTTGTTATCCCTATACCTTCTCGCCCACGAACGCGTTTATGCACACACGTTTTAATATATATGTTCGCCATAAAATACAATATGCATTAGGTACAA